GGCTTTTTGGCTTTTTGGCTTTTTTTTGTGAGAGAAGAGTGTAATGATTATGGGTTGGATGTGATGTTTTGTTTGTTGTGGCTAAAATAGCCTGTTTTGTCTTTTGTGGCTATTTTAGCCCCAACCCACTTGCCAAACATTATCAAATTCTCCCTCCATCAGTCTTAGCAAATTTTTGTTAAATTAACTTTTTGATAAATTTGCTACAATAACTCGTCTGATGAAACGAGAAACTATTCATTGCTACAATACATGATTTGGGTGTAACCGGATTTCCGGCCGGTCAACGGCACATTTCCTCCAGTTTTATCTTTTGTAAAACATAAGAATTGTTTGGTTGATAGGTCATCAATTTAATTATAAAAAAAAAAAAGAATAACAAATATTTTAATAGAATTGAGTTAAAATAGAGAGTTTGATGCAGTTGGTGACTAGGGATGTTGACCCCGAGGACAACCCCTAACGAAAACCCATTACGACATAACGGAAGGAGTGGGGGAAGTTCAAATCCAGGTGGCAATGGAAAAAAAAAAAAAGAAAAAAAAAGAGAGAGAATAGGAAGGGCTCTGGCCCTCAAAGGAAGCCTTGGGGGAAACTTAGGAAACGATTTATATCTTTGATTGTTCTAATGATAAGGCGTTTTGAATTCTGGAATATGAGGGGGCTTAGATCGACCTATTTCTTTGAAGGAAGTCAAAAAGCACATCAGGAGATATAATGTGTCCTTTTTTGGCATTTTGAAGACATAGAGTTAGAAGTGTTAATAAGGATCGGGTTTTTAACTCTCAGCAAAAGCTGGGCTATGATCTCTAACTATAATTGGTCTACATGGGGCAGAAATTGGGGGGTCTTATGGGATCTTGATGTTCTGGAAGTCAAGCACATCCATGTAATGTTACCAACCTTAAATTATGATCATAAGGCTTCCAAAACATGTTTAAATTGAATAAAATAAAAACCCTCAAATTAGATTTACATGCATAGATTAAGAACCCAAAATCAAACTAATTCTTAATTTGATCTACAATTTCAAATTTAACGCTTGGGAGCGAGTAAGGATGAGACTGGTGGTTTATTTTTATTTGGAGCCAAGAGAGGCTTAAATCATCCACTATGTATGTCGCCTTGGTTATAACCAAGATGAGGTCGTGTTAAGGACCAAACATGGATGTTAGTACCCACTTTCCATGTTGTGCCTGTTATGATTAGCCAGATGCGAGATCTCATTTGGCGCCTGGAAGGCGAGCAAATAGAGAATTCGGGTTAGGCGCTAGAAAGCGACTAGACTAATATCTGTACGGTGTATCGAGTATGACGTCACTCTTTATGGAAGAGTTACTCCACCGTAGCATGTATTCATACTATATGTGCTTGGCGACCGAGTAATGAGGTGAGAGAATGGATCCCTGCTTCCTCACCGTGTGAGTCTTACGAGTCATTATTGATATGACTTTCATTTATGTACCCTTTTGTGACTTTTGACTATGTCATAAGGTAAGGGGTTGATGTTCTGCTACTTTGGTATGTTGCCTGTGGTCATTTATGATTTGGCCTTAAGGGACATCACTGGGAAAGCGGTCAATCCTAAACTAAATGGCATGAGTGCAAAGGGAAGATCATCTAGTATTACACCACTGTTGTATATTCACTGCCGGCAACTCACATCGCTCTGTATGAGAGGCGAATTGAGTGTGAATATATTGCAAGAATTGAGAGGGTCAAACATGCTCTTTTTTGAGGGATTAGAGATGTTTTTTGGACTGGTGTAATTAGATGGGTCTGGGGTATATGAGACACTATTTCTTTTCTTTTTTGGGTTGATGTCTCTATGCTGGCTCATTTTGAGTTTCTAGTATAGAGCTCCCACATGCAGGTGTTCTCAGCAGTCGCACGGTGCAGTGGCTAGTATGAGATTGTTTATTTTTGGGAGATTGAGACAGAGATGTGGCAGTGTCATGCCAACTCATGTGCGAGTGGGAGATGTTAGTAATGGGCGCCCATGTGGCATGACCATTTGAACATAATTTGGATCTTATCCAAATAGGTTTTGAATTAAATTCAAACCTATTTAGGATAACCACTCAGGATATAGATATTATCAGTTTTAACTGATATGGATAAATAATAATAATATAATATATATCTAATATATGGTTATGGGTAACCCAAGAGAGAAACAACGTAGGTTTTGTTTCTACCCATATACTGACTCTCTCCCAATAAACAACGATCAAGTCATTTTGCACTGTGGTTTGTGTGGGTGATATTCACCATTGTAATATCACCCCACTGCTGGGATTGATTGATTAGATTCTGGAAGCACGTGATTTATCCACGAGATTTTAGATCAAATGAGGTATGATCTAAACATTTTATTCCGCTGCATGTTTTGTATCTCTGATTTACACTAAGTATAATCCGAAGGTCACAAAGCTTTCATGATTATTTTTATGATACCTAACATTGCTATTTCAAATTTTCATGTTATTCTTAATTATTTTTTAACATCTTTTGAGATTTTTTTAATCTTATTTTAAAATTTAGATGTAATTATAATTTATATTGTAATTAGGTACTTCATGTGACATGATTACGGCTAAATTTTAAATTTGCATAACAATTGATTTATGTTGTTATAGATCAGTTAATATTTTTTATCTATACAAAACATATAATCAATGATCATAATAACAACCCCACCCATACTTCACCGAAAAATATTTGGGATTTTAAATATTTTACCAAATATTCTATTAAATATCTCGTATAGATGTGGAATGTGAATTTTATGTAAATTCTACACTCATATAAGATATTTGATAAAATATTTAAAAAAATATTTAAAATCTCTAATATTACTCTACTTTACCACTGGACAACTTTGCCAAACCTCCTATTCCCTCTTCAACACTACACCACACAACCCCTCGGCCGTTTAACATCTCAATGAACAATTCATCTAGCACAACTCACACATAATAGTCTGTCTTCTTCTCTTGTCTTCTCCCTTCCCCAACTACAACACCACTGCCTCTTCCTTATAATTTGTTATGAAAATAAATTTTAAGACACATTAATATAATTATACTAAAAATTATGGGACTAGTTAAAATTTTTCTAACCTCGAGAAGGGTTAAATAGCCAAGAATTCAATTTTGTTTTTAACAAAAAGGTAAAATAGTCAAATATTAAGGGTTCTGTAATAACATATACCAATTTATTGTATGATTTAAAATTTTAAATAAGTTGATTTAATTAATTATAATTTTTTTAAAACTTTAAGTAAGATTAATATAATTTTCTTAAATTTTTTTTAATAAATTTATGTAACATTTGTCTTGTTTGGACATAAAAGGCATAAATATTATATTTATTTGTTTATTTTAATTATCGCTGAGACTCCCCCAATGGGTTGCACCCAGTGAGGTGGCGTGCCCTCACTGGGCTGAAACTCAAAAAAAAAAAAAAAATAAAATAAATTTTTTTTTTCACTCAATCACCGCGCGCCACCTCATTGGAAGTCGACATCCAGTGGGGTCCGAAGCATTTTTGTTTAATTATTACGGCCCAATTGCACGACACCATGGTCTATGGATGTTATTGTAGGTTAAAGCCATAAACCCTCGCGGTCCAATCCAGGTGAGAAAAGATCAACATATATTTGTATACTCCAGTCCAAGTGAGAGGAGTGTAAGATCTGTGATGCGAGGTCAGTCTCTCCGCATCAATGGCGTTCAAAGATTGTTTGCTTTTGAGCTTCTTCACGATAATAATCACTGCAACTACCTACGCCACTGCTGATTTGATCCAGGGCTGTGGTGGATTTGTCGAGGTAAATCTCGTTGAATTTCCCAGAAAAACTTTCCGAGAAAAATATATAAATCTTCTCCAGAAACTATTTTCCTAACATGTTTTCCTTCGAGATGAAGAAAGGATGTATTGATCTGAATGGAAGGTTGCAATTGTCATGCGCAAGTTCTTTGCGTTGGTTTCTTCTTAAATCTTAGCGATTATATCGAATTGTTATTTATTTATATATGTTCTGTTCTTTCCTTGGCAATTTAATGGTGCTTATCAAAAAAGGGCGTGGATTTCTATGTTGTAGGCAAGTTCAGTTCTGATCAAGTCAAGGAAGCCAACTGATACTAAATTGGATTATTCTCACCTCACGGTATGCCTAATTTTGCTTGTTGCCTAATTTGTTTGAAAGTGTTACTTTTAGTTGACTAGTAGTTGTAGGAGATTGTTTACCAAACCTTTGATTAGTCTCAAATGCATGCTTACAAGATATACATACAGAGATATCTAAGTTTGGAAAGAACTTTATTGTCAAATTATAGATTGAGCTTCGCACGTTGGATGGATTGGTAAAGGATAGAACACAGTGTGCTCCAAATGGTTACTACTTCATTCCAGTGTACGACAAGGTATTTTTTGTAAAATAAATCATGTTTCAGATTCTGTGTATCTACCATAATTTATCAAATATGAAATCATGCATGTCATGCCTTGTTCTTGCAATTGGTCTTGTCTGTAGAATCTCTAAAAAACTTGACCAATCACTGATTCTGCAAGAATGCAGAGTGTAAGCTGGTTCAACGGGTGGGACAGTCTTGCTTGCTTTGGTTATTTAATTGTCTTAGGGCTACCCAAACTTCTGAAAGTTGGAAGGTGAGATATGTTGATTAGGGATGAAAATCGGGCAGATAATTGGGAACTTCAAACACTCCTTGGGTTAGGACTTTGGTTCTATACCTGTTCCACTGTTCAAATATGCCAAGATATTTTCTATTAAACAAATCTAAAAAACTTGACCAATCACTGATTCTGCAAGAATGCAGAGTGTAAGCTGGTTCAACGGGTGGGACAGTCTTGCTTGCTTTGGTTATTTAATTGTCTTAGGGCTACCCAAACTTCTGAAAGTTGGAAGGTGAGATATGTTGATTAGGGATGAAAATTGGGCAGATAATTGGGAACTTCAAACACTCCTTGGGTTAGGACTTTGGTTCTATACCTGTTCCACTGTTCAAACATGCCAAGATATTTTCTATTAAACAAAATTTAATAAGGCACAATAAATAAAAAAAATATATAGTAAATTGTGTAAATCATGTAACTGGAATATATATTCATTTGAAGGTTGGATGCTAATGAATGAGATTGTTTAGAAACCTCAAATATGTTCTCATCTGCTTCAAAGCATGGGCTGAATAATCAGGTGATCAAGGTCAAAAACTGAAGTTTTCGATTTGCAGCTCTTTATGCTCAGTTGCTCTTCTTAACAGGATGATGAATTGCAGGCATTATATCTTTTCTTTTCTTTTTTTCTTTTCCTTTTTCTGAGGCTGTGAGCTAGTTTGTCAAGTTGATGTGCTTAGTAAATCTTTCTTGGTGCAGTCGTTTTAAGTCTCTTTTTTACACTTGTTTCTGGTTCAGTTTACCATGCAAACTTCAAAGACTTCAAAGTAGAGCTGGTTATGTCTTAAGTGTGCTAAATTTCCAATTTGGGTGGGTTGTCATCTGGCTACAACAGACTTCATCCATTTATTATCATCTTTGTAAGAAAATAACAATAAAAAAAGGGCAGCCTAGTGCAACTGTGAATGAGACTCCCACCACTACGGGGTCTAAGAAGGGTTGGATGTATGTGGTCTTATCCCCACATGCAGAGAGGTTTTATTCCCATGAAAATAAAAAATATAATGCTTGGAAAAAAAAATCCAACACAATCAGGGCTAGAATTTCCTACACCATCAGCAAGGCATTTTATTTTCTTGACATGATTGTTTGACCTCCTTATATTGCATAGTTTTCATCTTTAATGCTGTCTTCTACAGGGTTCCTTTGTGATTAAAGTCAAGGGACCAGAAGGATGGTCATGGGATCCAGATCAAGTTAAGTATATTAGTTGTCAACTTGTCAGTATGTAATGTTTCCCATGTAGGATGTTTCCAGTCCTTTGTAGGAGTGCATTTTGTAATTCTGTTGGACCTAAAATGTGAGAGGAAAAAAAAATAATTTTCTTGTAGGTTCCTGTCGTTGTTGATCAGGCTGGTTGCAATGCAAATGAGGATATAAATTTTAGATTCACCGGGTATGCTCAGTTGCTTTAGGTTATTATTATTATTTTAAATATTTATGAAACCTGTGGTATTTTATTCATGTTGTCAACTCTCTTTGCATTATTTGCATTGCTCTTTCTAAATTTATTTGCTTCCATATTGTGCTGTGTATCACTCTCCTAAATTTCCTATATCTGTAGGTTCACCGTGTCTGGAAGAGTTGTGGGATCTGTTGGTGGAGAGAGCTGTTCAAATAAAAATGGGGGTCCATCAAATGTAAATGTTGAGCTTTTATCTCCCACGGGTGATCTTGTCACGTCTGTTTTAACATCACCAACAGGAAGTTACTCGTTCACTAACATTATCCCAGGTCTGTAGTTCACTTGCTAGTGACCCAACAAAGGGTTGACTGTTCTAAACTTGTTCTGGAACTTCATCTGAAAACCTCATTTAACCATCTCTTAATAATGTTAATAAGTGTTTTCTGGAAATAATGAATTTGACTTATAGCAAACCATAATTTATTCTCAGTATTCTGGTTTTCTTGTTATTCCTGTAAATCTTACCTGATGCTCTTCTTGTTTTTAATTGTTATTGATTGTCAAGAACATAGGTTCACCGACTTAACATTAGCTGTTCTTGGGTTTAGGAAAATACAAACTACGTGCTTCACGTCCTGATTTTAATGTTGAAGTTAGAGGTTCTGCTGAGGTCAGATGCTTGTTTTCTTTTCAAAGGCTTTCTATTTCACCTTGCTGCTATTTGTTGTGTGGCTCTCTCCCCCCATACTAACCAAAAAACACACATGTGCACGCCTATATATTTTTGCTTGAGCTGCAACTACATTTTACTTGTTGTAGGTTGAATTGGGGTTTGAGAATGGTTTGGTTGATGACATTTTCTTTGTCCCTGGCTATGATATTCGTGGATCTGTAGTTGCTCAGGTAATTTTTTGCACTAATAATTGTTTCACAAAATGCAATTTCCTTGTATTGCTTTCTTATAAAATAAGCTGTGCCATTCTTTTCACTTTCATATTTTTACTTACTTATTTCATTTTATAAAATCTTTGGGAATCAAGTGGGTTTGAGGTTGAAGGTCCTTGGTGGTTTGCGTATTTTATTCCGTGTCACTTGACTAAAAATTTCTTCTTTAATAAATTTTATGTCATTTATCATTTAATTATAAACTCAAGTGTGCATGAACAAGAATGAATATTATAGGCTTTATAGCATTCGAACTGTGGAAATAGAATACTTATACAGTATTTTCCACATCAATTTTCAATGATTTATTAACAAAATAATTCAAGGATTTATATCGGCATGTGTTTGTGTTTCTGCCATGTGGCGTAGGTGATGGATGCCTCAATGTTTTCTTTTCACAAATTTAAAATTAGTTTCATATAAACAGAGTTGTATTTCTGGATGTAGCAGTTTATTGTTGTTCCGTTTCAGTTGATAAATTGCAGGCTGCTCCCATCTTCGATATGTTATAGTCTCTTTAACCTTCAATTTACAGGAGTTTTCTTTCTATGGTTATTGACAAACAAGAGTCTTGATATGTATGCACCCGTGTGTGTATGTGGATACGGATATATGTTTCTCGATAAGTAGATGGATCCTCACTTACCAATTGGGATTTGAATCCTGCATCTTCCTTCTTTGGTGTGTTAGGAGATGCGACTCAAGCTAACAGCTGATGTTATGCACACATCATTGCATTCGTTATTACGACTGAGTACAAGATTGATTTGGTCCGCATGCTTGTACTAATTTGTGTATCAATAGATGTTATTTCCATTACTAGGTGACTTTCTCTGTTTCTGGTTATGTTTGGTTGTTGTTGGTATTTTAATAATGAAAATGCTGAAAATGCACCACATTTTCCGTATGCTATTCCTATTACCTTATATGCATAGTGTGACATGTTTAATTGCACAAATGCAATTTTGCTATTGAGTAATGTGGCTTTTTGATAATTTTGTTGTTTTCTTAGTTGCAACCTTGCAAAATGTGAACCTTGGTAGTGGAATACAGTCTTGGATGCAATTCCATTTTCAACAAATGCACTAATTAGCTGGCAAAGCCAGTTAATCTCAACCACCCCATTTTGAGTAAACTGCTCACAGTAGTTGGGGTGACCTTCTTTCCATAGATGCCATGCTCTATTGTTTCGTAACATGGTTTTAACTGTTTGGAGATAGGAGACCCTGCAGATATCTGAAGAACTTGGGTGGACTGATAGTGTCATGCTTTATTATAAACGTGTGCACATATTTATAGGAATTGAGGTTTGCTGAGTTTTGTTGTTTGAGGTATCTTGCAATGTAATGTGCAAGTGAGTGAAACTAATGAATGATCTGTGTCATCTTTTCTTTCTTCTTCTTTTTCTTCTATTTTTCCATTTTTTTTAGGGAGATCCCATCTTAGGGGTTCACATTTATTTATACTCAAATGATATCTCGAGGGTGGACTGTGCCCTCGGCTCTGGTAATGCCCCTGGGCAAAGAAAAGCTCTCTGTCATGCTGTCTCTGATGCAGAGGGAATGTTCACATTTAAATCAATACCTTGCGGTAATTCCTATGCGCCTGATATCCTACTTTTGCTTAGCTGCATCTTGTATGAACATTCTAATACATACTTAGCTTACACCTGGATAGAAATACTTATTGTTTTTCCTTGAAAACGACCTATGAGACTATTATATATTGTTTTTAAAATATATATATATATATATATATGTTTCTGAAAGATGACTAGGTTTTGGCTCATACCTAGTTTTTGAACTGTTTCAGATGAATGAAACTGAAGCTTTACATTACAATATGTACAGAAAATTTATATTGAATTTCAAAGGACCATACCTGGAAAGCAAAGGAGAAAGTGTGCTTCCATTCATGTTTCTATTTACTTAGTTAGCATTAAATCTTGATTGAGCTTATGTTACATGGATTTTTCTGAATTTGTAACGTACCTGTGTCGGGCAATTGACACTCAAAAGAGTATAGGATATGCATCCGACAAACTTAGTTGGATACGCACCCACTAAGTATCCTTAAGAAGTAGAGTCTACTAGATGGCCATGCATAAAACTCCCTTTATAAAATAATTTTTAAGATATATAAAATGTTGCTGTGTCCTAATGTCCTTGAAAATGAGAATGAGACGAATCCAAGGTTTTAAAAAGCGGTTGCGGTGGTGCGGTTGTAGGGTGTAAAGGCCGTAGCGTAACGGTTGTGGTAATCGGAATCGTGAATTTTTTTTATTTTTTACACAATTTGAAAAAAACTTATCTGGTGTGCATATTTCTTTTTACAGAATCACATTTATTAGGGTTTAAAATAGATTTTGACTAATTTTTGTTAGTTTTAATTTTTAAGTATGATCCAATATATTTCGTATTTTTAAAATACTATAAAAGGAACTTTTTACATTTTATTTTAATAGTTAATAACTTTATATGTCATAAATTCATATTTATTAATTTTTTTAAGAATAATTAATTTTAAATGTCTACAAATTTTTTTTTTTTGACTAATACCTGAACTAACTATATAAAAAATATTTACAATTATTAAATGAAATTATTATAAAAATAAAAATTGAGACATAAACAAATTTTTTTTTTTGAGCTACTGAATCAAGGTTTCAAAAAGCGGTTCTGGTCACCATAACGGTTGCGGGGTGTAAAGGCCGTGGTGTAACAGTTGCGGTAACCAGAATTGTGAATTTTTTTTTTTTTCATACAATTTGAAAAAAACTTACCTGATTTGCTTATTTTATTTTTTTTCAGAATCACATTTATTGGGGGTTTAAAATAGATTTTGATAATTTTTTGTTAGTTTTAATTTTTAAGTATGATCAAATATATTTCATATTCTTAAAACACTATAAAAGGAGGTTTTTACATTTTATTTCAATAATTAATAACTTTATATGTCATAAATCCATATTGTACCTCTTATTTTATTTATTTATTTATAATAATAATTGATTTTAAATGTCTACAATTTTTTTTTTGACTAATGCCTGAACTAACTAAATAAAAATACTTACAATTATTAAATAAAATTATTATAAAAATAAAAATTGAGACAAAATTTTTTTTTTGAGCTACTGAATATTGCAGAATGTGTATAATATATATTTTGTAAGTTTTTTTTTTTTTTGAAAGGAAGATGTTCAGAATATTATAAATGTGTGTAACGGGCTGTTATGGCCATTATGATACCGTTACAGTCGTTACATAACACCGAAACGGGCATTACACGTGTGAATTTCCATCACACTGCAAAAGCGGGCGTAATGGGTAGTACCTACTGCCACAACTGTTACATAACAGCCGCAACCGTTACGTAACACCACTTTTTTAAACCTCGGATGAATCCAACACTTGACACATACTCTCACCCTGCACCCCACCTGAGCCCATGTAGCATAGTTCTGGGATTATTTTAGATGTATTGCCATGTTGAGATGCATAAGGAAATGTTTGTTATCTTTTCCGTTAAATGAATGGCTTTTTACTTGAACCCACTGGCTTTTGGTTCTCTGAAATTATTACAGGGGTTTATGAGCTTATACCATACTACAAGGGTGAGAATACGGTTTTTGATGTTTCACCTTCCTCCATGTTGGTGTCTGTTGAGCATGATCATGCAACAGTTATCCAAAAGTTTCAGGTATGGTATCGGTTTGCTTTTATTTTATTTTATGATAAATGTATCGGTTTGCTTTTATTGCCAACTAGAATGTCTATATGTCTACACCTCTTTGATATGAGAGCTTCTGTTTCTTCGGATATCTCTTTTGATGATATATTCATTTCATAACTAAACATAGTGAGTTTGTTACACGCCAACACCAATTGTAGCCAAATCTACAATAGTGTTCCACTTCTGCTTAAGTACTGACACTAAAAGATCTTCTTGCAGTGCCTTGTGAACAGTAGCTACTGTAATGTTTTGAGTATTAACTGGTTCACTAAATATAATTATAACAATTGATTTTGCTTCACATGCAGTCTTTTTTAGAATCTCACAATATTCTTTATCTCATGTGTGAACAGCACTCATCATCTCAACATTCCTTTAAGAGTGAATAAGTAAATCAGTTGATAAACTAATAAAACATTAAAACTTCCCTGCTGTCACCATGACAGCACAATGGCAACAGATTGCAAATCCCAACCATGATTAACCATATCCACTAGCACCTGTGCAGCCCCACTCTCCTTTGATACTGCTGCATTTGTCTGCTTGCCTCCATTTGTTGCTGCTGCCACCTGTACAATCTCCACTCTCTCTCATATCTTGTCTTGTCTCCACCTAATTGCCTTCTTTTATTTGCTATGTGTAATTGCTTAATCTACTCTGTAGTTTTTCCTTTACGTTCCTCTCATACTTCTAGGAGTTCAACTTTCTCCTTTGACATGAATTTAGTTCCAATGCTTGTCTTTGTAGTAGATATTCATCTCGTGCATTCTTTGTAATTGATGTAGGTCACTGGATTTTCTGTTGGGGGTCGTGTAGTTGACGGGAATGGCATGGGAGTGGATGGTGTAAAAATTGTAGTAGATGGTCATGAAAGGTCTATCACTGACAAAGACGGATATTACAAGCTCGACCAGGTAATTTGATGAGTGTGCTCATGATGAATCACATGATCACATGTTCTATTCCCCCTTGCGGCCCCAACCCATCTCTCTCTCTTGTCACCTTTTATGGCTTATTAATTGGTACACTAGATTTCTATCTTCCTATAATGTTGATTTTATTGTTTCATCTTCTTTTGATTATATACTTTAGCTGAACTCTTAATCAGTAAGGCCTTGTATTCCAACTAATTGGTCTCTCTGTTTCTCGTTTGGTCTTTTGTCAATCACTTGATATGATAGTTAGTATCCGGAAAGGTCTATGATTCTTAGGAGAGCACATCATTTTATTATGTCAGAGAGCATTAATTCACACAAACTGTAATATTTCATACTTGTGGTTCTTCTGTTCTAGTTGTTTTGATTGGTGTAGTTGTTGAATGTTTGTAGGTTACCTCCAGTTGCTATTTGATAGAAGCGAAGAAGGAGCATTACACATTTGACAAACTCAAGGACTTTTTGGTAAAGTTAATCAACAGCTTCATTTATTTGAACTAATTATAAGATTGATCTATTCTTGAGGGCATTAAAGATGCATTTTTTCTTAAATGTATTTGAAAATTTACTGCATCTATACTTTGTATCAATTCTGTTTTTTGCTATCACGACTGACTGTTGTCGTTTCCTTTTATTCATTTGTAATGAATATGAATCATTAGGTGTTGCCAAACATGGCTTCAGTTGTGGATATTAAAGCAGTCTCGTATGATGTCTGTGGCATTGTTCAGATGATTAGTTCTGGTTACATGGCAAAGGTAATTTCAAATCTTTTGTTTTATTCTTCAAAGTGTGGTTGCAATGTATTAGGTTTGAGTAGATGTGTCTTGCCTTTGCTTCTAATTTTCCTGTATCAATTCCAACTTTTTTTTCTTCTAAGTATGAGTGGTTACCGCAATTTGAAAAGAGGGGAGAGTTTGGTAATTGCACTTAGTACTTATCTGGAGTCATGGTATGGTAGCAAAGACTCTTTTGATAGTGTGGTGGCAGTTGGTGGTAGCAGCAGGGAGTTGTTTGTATGAGCTGGTGATTTAGTAACGGTGGTGTTGTGTGAATGAGACTTAGTGTTTCCAGAATTGGAGGTAGATTTGGTGGCAGGGCAGATATGGTAGTGGTAGTTTTGTAGAGACTGGATGTGATTTTGGTGGTTGAAAATGTTTTGGTTGTTTTGGCCCTTGGGGAGATGCTGGTTGTAGTGGCAGATGTCCCAAGAGTGGTGTGTCCAGCGGCTGTTGTAATGGTTGCTGTGGTGGTTGGATAAAGCCTTATTTCCTCTCTTCCTGATTTTTGTTTTTTATTTTTGGTTTTGTTTGAAGACATTATTTTCCTTTTTGTTTGTTTGAAACAAGGACCATGTGTGGGCCTTTAGTATTAAAATTTGCAACAGATATGAGCTTAATTATTTTTTATGTTTGTCTATGTATGGATACTAGGTAGCCTTGACTCATGGACCAGAGAATGTTAAGCCTCGAGTTAAACCGACTGATGAGAGTGGTAGTTTCTGCTTTGAGGTATGTTGACACTGGTGTCAAGAGATTTTTCCTTGGTCTTCAGTTTCTGCTTCTACTTTTGCATTATATTATGACTTCATGACATAGTCACATTTATTGAGTGTTGTGATATTTTTGTTTGTTGTGAAGCTTTAGGAGTTTTTGAAAATTCTGTTGTAATCATTTTGATCAAATTGAATCCTAACTTTTGCAGATGAGCAAGCATTCTTTTCTTTTGTGCATTGATTCGTCCTTGTCCTTTCAGTGATGAAAGTTAAGCTTTGCTTTATTAAATCAGTTATATCACTTTCTGATCGATCACATTGTGTTTCAGGTTCCATCTGGTGAATATCGTTTGTCTGCTTTAGCAGCCAACCCTGAGAGTTCTCCCGGACTTCTGTTTTTGCCAACTCATGTTGATGTTGTGGTTAACAGTCCAGTACTGAATGTTGAATTTTATCAGGTGATTTTTCTCAAAGCTGGATATGTTAATGTTGCTTTTGTTTTTTTATTAGTGTGTAATATAGTCCCTTTTAGATTATTTGAAATTAGAAATTCTATATACTTTGCACATAGCATCCAACCTTTGGTTACTCAATCCCAGTAATCTTGTCATATTATTATGGCACAGAGAAGAGAAGACAAATCAATTTTCAAGCGGAAAAAATATCAAGTTGTTTGTTAGCACAGATAGGATTATCTTAAAATGGTATCTCTCTTGAAATCCACTGTATGAATCAGGATTTCTGACAATGAGCTTGGATCTTAGTTCTAAGACTATTCTGAAACTACATGCTATAGAGTGGTCCAAAGGGAGAAATATTTCAATGTTAGTTGGGATAGGATTTAATTGGTTCATTTCTGCACACTGTATGTGAAACTTCTTAAAAATCTTACTTAAAAATCTTATTTATTGCTCTCAAAATTTAGGCACAAGTGAATGTTCTTGGGGAAGTAGCTTGCAAGGAGAAATGTGGCTCATCGGTTTCTGTCACATTTGTAAGGTTGGACGGCAAAAGTAAAGAGGAGAGGAAGACAGTTTATTTGACTGATGAGAGTAGTGAGTTTTTGTTTCCCAATGTTTTCCCTGGGAAATACAAGCTTGAGGTACTGTGCTCAATTTTTGCTCTTTTTATTTTGAATTTATTGTGTGTATCTTATTGTTTTCCTTGCTATAATTAGGGATGAAAGGGCATGCATCCAAAAAATGCTTTTGTATAAATTGTGAGTTTTTACTTGGTTTGAACCTGAACTATTGTGAGCTACCACCATGGTATGCATTGCTTTTATCACATCTTGTTCGTCCCAAGCTATGTAAAATATACCTGCTAGTGCCTAACTCTGTCCATTTAAGTCAGAAGCTATGTTCTGTGGGGATATTTATTGACAATTGACATTTCATCCCCTTCAGAGCTTTGAGCCCAGGGGGAGTTTGAATCTGTGATTAGTTGCCGACCTGTCATTGCTAGAAAAGCTAGGTTCACCTCATTCATTTTCCTTAAACCAATGCCTCTGTCATATATTGGCAGTGCCCTCAGCTTGCGATGTCCAATACCCTACATCTGTCTGTTCACATTCTCGCATAACTCTTCAAAGAAGTCATTAAAGTTTCTAGTTCCTGAAGACTTCTCTGCTATTTAGACTACTGAGATAACAACTTTAAGTGAACCTCAACTTCAATTGCTTGTTAGTTTCTGATTACTGATCAATGCTTTCATTTTCTAGGTGAAGCACACTTCTGCTGGAGAGATGTCAGGAGAAGACCAGTGGTGCTGGGAGCAGAGCTCTATCACTGTGGAAGTCGGCACAGAGGATGTAAAAGGGATTGCCTTTGTGCAGAAAGGTTATTGGGCCAATGTTATTTCTACCCATGATGTAGATGCCTACATGACTCAACCTGATGGTTCCTATGTGAATTTGAGAATTAAGGTTATCTCAGTACCCTAAAGCTTTTCTATCTTGAAGCTCACTTAAACTATTATAGAGCTGCTCTTATTCCGTTGTGGAAGTAAATTTTGGTTTTTATTTTTTCTGTGGACTGCAGAAAGGTTCCCAGCAGCTATGTGTAGAATCTTCTGGAGTGCATGAACTTCAGTTTGTTAACTCATGTATTTTCTTTGGAAGCTCATCTATGAAAATTGATACATCAAATCTATCAGTATGGGACCTATTTTATTTTTATTTCCCATGTTACTTTAATGTCATTACTAAAAGCATTTTTGTTTTGTTTTGTTTTTCCTCTTCCTCTTATTCCACTCTTGTTCTTTTTGCAGCCTATCTATCTAAAAGGAGAGAAATACCTCCTTGGAGGACAAATCCATGTTGATTCAAGCTCACTCGATGGTGTTTATGAATTACCTGAGAACATACTGGTTGACTTAGTAAATAATGAGGGTCCTCTTCTGGATGGTACTGTTGCCAGACTTGTTGGTAGTGGAAATGATCAATCAGGTTTTGTCGTATATGAGTATTCAGTGTGGGCTAATCCTGGAGAAAAACTTACTTTTGCTCCTCAGGACTCACGGTACATATATTGTAGTAGTCTTACTTGATAACTTAGTTATTCTCACTAATCATTTGCCCAACTATTAGAAAAATGTATACCCTATGTCATTGGGAGTTTTTTTTTTTTTTTTGGGGGGGGGGGGTGTTATATGTTCTCTATCTTAAGAATCCAGATGAGTGGATGCATTACTGCTGAGTTTCAATTTGGTCCTATTTTTGCTGAACTTTTAGTTAATGCTGGTTATTTTATTAAATTGAAGAACTCGAAAGTGTAAGATTGAGTTCCAATGATGTATTGTTTATTTCCCAACACACCCACCCCTCCTTATTTTGAAAAAGTACACCCATATTTCTACATATATAATAAGTTAATAAGTGCTTCTATGAAAAGCATATTTAGTTTACCGCCTTCTTGTTTTCTATATTTTGCTCATATAGTTACATAAATCTCTGCTGTCTATGTTCTTTGCTTAGATATTTGACTCAAATTCATCTCTGTTGTTACTAATGCTCTTTGTATGCCCTAAACATCTTTTGTGATGTGTTTCAGGAATAAGGGTGGGAAGCAAATCTTGTTTTATCCTAGACAACAAGATGTAAGTGCAATGATTCACTTCCAAATTCTGTCCGATGTTTTGAAACAGCAGTTTTCAAATCTTTTTCCTTGTTATGTTAGGTCTTGGTGACACATGATGGTTGCCAAGCTTCAGTTCCTCCATTTTCTGGTCGACCGGGGTTGTACATTGAAGGATCAGTTTCTCCACCCCTTTCTGGTGTTTATATCAAAATTATTGCTGCTGGAGATAGCCATAATGCCCCATTTAAGAAAGGTGATTTAGCTCTTGAAACTACAACAGGGACAGATGGTTTATTTGTTGGAGGACCTCTATATGATGATATAAGTTACAACATTGAGGCTTCAAAGGTATGAGACATTTACAGTGGAATAATGTCAATGTTGTAATATTTGCATTTTGTAAAATTGAATCAAGTGATTTGCATTTTGTAACTATCTATGAAGGTCTAGCTTCTAAATCATGTTATTGAAAACAAAATATTGGAGAATGCGTTTTATAATACACATGTTTGTCGTAATTTTGTTTAGAATGCATTTTCTAGTTCATATTTTTTCGTAATTTTGTTTATGTAAAATCATACCCAAGCTATCTGTGTCATCAATAATATCAATTTACTTCCTTATAGAGGCTTATTAGCAGTTTCATACCTTTATAATTTCGATGAATTAGTTCCAATATTTTACCTAGTGAAGTTCAGCAGTATTCAAGGTTTGAAACTTCCAAAATGCCAAGGTTAGCCAAGGTGATGGCGCTACCACCATCCTATGCGGTCTCAGAAATGGAAGTTATCTGTACACATAACTTGCATGCCATCATTTCTGCTAAATATTAGCAGTACTTTTTCTGGAATTAATTTTTGGATGTTAATTGTACAGCAACCCTTTTTGTCATTTTCACCTCGATACCTTCTTTGTGATTAGTAAATATTTTACCTTGCTGCCATTCTAGTGAAACCCTGCTCTTTTCCTATCTAGAAGTTCAAAGTCTTTGCTTTTAAGTCGGAGTTCAGATATAATCAACCTCAATCATATCCAATTCACCATTTATTCCATTCAAAAACTCAATATGGTCCTCCCTTAATGCCCAAAAGCTGAAATCCATAGTCTGCAGAAGTGGTTAGTTGCATACTTCCTTCTTTAAGGCTTCTCCTGGAGAACACTCATGCAGGATCTATGTTACATGGACTCGGGTACGGGTGTCGGGTGCGGGTATGTATCTAGAGGTCAGACTCATCAAACCATAAATTTAAGGATACGCGGACTCGGCAAAAAAATGTCATATTTTTATATTTTTAATCTAATATGTGAGATAAAATGGTATTATATTTAACTTATAGTGTCAAAATGACATTTATAGCAATTATATAACAATATATACATATAATAATAGTGTTATATACAATTATATATGAAGTATCCGTTGAAAAGTATCCGACACATATCCCATACCCTTGTCCGAGTGTCGGGTGTCCGACACGGGTATTTGATTTAATTTGAAGAGTCCATGTAACATAGTGCAGGATCATTGTGCTTGGTAACTTCTTGATCTTTTTTCTTCTTCTTCTTCATGTTGCATATGTTTGATGGGTATGAAGTGTTGGTGAAGAGTAGAAGTAGGAAGGTAGGTTGATGCCTCTATTTCCCATTCGAAGATCTTGTGTTTGGCTTTCAACTTACGGCTAGATGTGATGTGCATGATTTAGATATGGGAATGCAGAGCACTTTTTGCCTGCATTCTGGACGACATTCCGGCAATTCCCTACATGTAGTATCGAGAAAAATGATCATCTCCATTAGCAGAATATGCTCACATTTAGTTTTATATGATCTTCCTTTGTGATTTTTCGGCGTACTTCCTGATGTTTCTCTTATTTCTTGCAGCCTGGATATTATGTAAAACCTGTTGGACCTCATTCCTTTTATTGTCAGAAGCTTGGTCAAATTTCTGTACATATTTTTTCTAAAGATGATGCAAGGGAACCCTTTCCTTCTGTTCTGTTGTCATTGAGTGGCGAAAATGGTTATAGGAACAACTCAATAACTGCTGGTGGTGGAATTTATCTCTTTGAAAACTTATTTCCTGGGAGTTTTTATCTTCGTCCTCTATTAAAGGTATTTCGGAACTCACCATTTATATGATACTTGAAGTATTTAATTATTTATTTTTTATTTTTTATTGTTCATATCCCCTTTCCATATGCTGGTTTCTCATCAAATATTTGAGTGCTTAATTTTCATCCACTGGAATAATGATGCATTCAGATTGGGAAATGGGTAATTCTGAATTCTTGCTGGGTTTAAATTCCTAATGCTGTATTAATAACCTTATTTTCATTGAGCAGAATCCAACACTTGACACCAGCTTTTGAGTCAATTGCTTAGTTGCAGGAATCGTGCAACTAGGTGGCGATTTTGAGTAGGAATCGCGATTCCGTGATTCCTAGAAAGAAACGTGTAAGAATCGCGTTTCTGTGGAGAGAGAAACGCGATTCAGTCCAAGATGGGATCGTAAAGGGGGGAGAGAGAGAGAGAGAGAGAAACCCTAGTCTTCGACGTTGACATGAGAGGAGAAAGAAGGGTTGTTGAGAGAACTTACACTGGATCAGTGTTGAGATTAGGGCTTTGATTGCCGTCGTCACTCTCTTCTCTCACTATCGATCACGATCGTCTTTGTCTCTGAGGGCTTCGATCTTGGTCACTCTCTCGATCGTTTTCGTCTCTCCCTCTTCGTCTCTGCTTCTCTCCCTCTTCATCTCTGTTCGTCGTTCTCTGCTTCGTCTCTGTTCTCTTCACTCTCTCTCTTCGTCATTCTCTTCACTCTGTCTCTTCGTCTCTATGTTTAACTACGCTTAATTGATCATATATGATATATATATATAACATATAATATATATATATTATATATGTAATAAAATTTATAAATTATAATTTTTACCATATATAATAAAATATTTAATTATTATTTCTTAAAATATCATATATAATAATAATTTTTGTAAATTATTATTTCTTAACTTTTTAACATATAATAAATAAAATAAATCATCCATTTATTTAAAAGAAATCTAATTAAACCATATATAATAAAAAAAATTATAAAATAAAATATCTAGTTTTTCTTTTTATTTATTTAAACATAATTTATTATTCCTTATTTATTATAATTTTTTATTTATAATATATACCAATTAAAAATAAATAAAAAAATTAACAATAATACATTATTTAAAAAAATATAATAAATAAATAAAATAATTAATGTATATTAAAATAAAAATATTTATAAAAAAACTTCTAATGTGCATTAATATATATATATATATATATATTACCGCTCCCCGAGACGCTCTCAATCTAAGAAACTTTTATTGGCTCACGATTCTCCGCCCCCGCTCCCGCTCCCGCTCCCGCTCCCGCTCCCGCTTCGTGCAACTAAGGTCAATTGTTATCCCAAATTCAATTTTTGTTGCCTAGAAGTCCGCTCCCGCTCCCGCTTCGTGCAACTAAGGTCAATTGTTATCCCAAATTCAATTTTTGTTGCCTAGAAGTCAATCCCTCTCCAGTTTGAATTTTTCAGAACTCAGATTGCTATACTTTTTTCTTTTTCGAAATTAAGGATCTAATGATGTTTGCAACTTATTCTTTCCATGGACTCTTTGGAAAAGCCATTCAAGAATGCCGAATTATATTCATGGTGTATGCCAATGATGAAGCAAACTGTTAACTACCTCAACCAACGGCTAGTTTGTGCGCCCATGATGAAGTAACTGTTAAGTGATAATTCTATAAGCTAACAACTAATTTTGGTTTTGTAGGAGTATGCTTTCTCACCTCCAGCACAGGCAATTGACCTTGGATCTGGGGAGGCTAAGGAAGTCATCTTCCAGGCCACACGTGTTGCTTACAGGTATTCCCATAGTCCCTGTTCTCCTTTCATCCCTTGGTTTTAGGGTAAGGATGAGAACATCTTGTACTTTCTTACTTTGAAAGCATTAGATACATGTAAATATATAATGTAATTTTACGAGAATGACCAATTCTTAATCTAGAATTTTCTTATAGTCAGAATAGAAACTAAATCATGATGCTTATTTAATGTCCTTGCATTGGGTTGTTAGTGGCCAGGCATAGCTCAACTTTTGTAGACGGGTTGTTAACAATTAACTTTTGGGGTTGTGCAACTCTTTACTCAATAAAGCTTTTATTTTATCTACCCGAACTGGACAGCTTGAATCCTAATCTGTTAAGGTCCATCTATAGCCATACCTCTCTTACCTTTTATTCCTTGACCCTTTATTCTGAAAAAAAAATTTCAAAAAAAATAGAACACCTATATTACTAATTAAATGGTCACTGCCATTTATGCAGTTTCTTTCCCACAAGATGCTGACATGGTCTTACTACTTTGCAGTGGTATGGGTACAGTTACTCTCTTGTCTGGCCAGCCAAAAGAAGGTGTTTCAGTGGAAGCCCGGTCAGAGTCGAAAGGCTTTTATGAGGAGACAATAACAGATTCATCAGGAAATTATCGTCTGAGAGGGCTCCTCCCTGATACAACCTATATAGTAAAAGTAGTGGAAAAGGGTGACCTCCAAAGCACTAGAATCGAACGAGCATCTCCAGAATCTGTTGTTATCCAGGTGAGTCATTGATACTGAAGCTTGTTTTCTTGTTATTCAAATGTGAGTTCAAATATTCAGAACCCAATGTATGAAAAAAAATCCACCCTTTTTCTGTTAATGTCTTGAAGTTGTTTTGTCTAGCTGATCAAAAAATGTTGTTACACCAAAAATTCCGTTCTTTGAGTGGTAGAATTTCTTGTAGAAGATAATTTTCTTAATGGATAATAAAATGTAGGGCAAACTTCAACAAAAATATATTTATTTTAAATATATCCTTTTTATACTGCATAAGTATGTAACAACAATGTCATCAATTTTGTGTTACATTGTGGACTTAAGTTTGCACATAACCAAGAAAAAGTGTGTGTATATATATTATATTTCTGTAGAAGTATGCATTTGTTAGAAATAATTAAGCAATACAATTAACATCTCTATTATCAGAATTTTACAATTCGCGATTCGATTAGCAATTTTTGCAAAATTGATACGAATCTCTGGGTGAATCTATTTTGGAAGTGAATCTATAGTAAATCGCATGATTCACAATCGATTCACCATTCAATTCACTTTTTACAATTTATGCAATTCTTAAAACTATTGTGCCCGGCATATTTTCAACTATTTGTTTCTCCATCTTTGTCATAAAAATGACATAATACAACTTTTAATAGTGTTTAATATCAAAATAACCAATGCATATGTATGATTTGTTGTCATTTTAGTGATCATAGAGTTTTTAATAATATCTAATCAGATTCAGTCAGACCTAACATGTTTTTAAGCTTTCGTCTCATTTTTTCCTATTAAAAAATCATAATATATCTGCTTTAAAATTTAAGTAACTTATGCCATGAATTACCTATTATTATTTTGTTAAATTAAAGTATAGTTGAATATTACATGGGTGAGGTCAGTTATACTTCTTAAAATATTTGAGGCTTTTAAAATAAAAGATCCTAAATAATTCTAATATTTGGTCATTTTTACTTAAAAAAGTATGTATGCTTATTGTTTAAATATTAACATTGTTGTTAAATTATTGTTACTTTGAAAATTGGGAGTTTGTTTTTTGTTTACTATCTTTATTAAGAATGGTTTATAAGAAATATCAAAAAAAGGAAGAAAATGTAAGATGGTGATCTTACATGGGAACCTTTCTTACCTATTAAATTACGAGACCATCATTAAAAACATTTTCATTGATTTAAGTCTATATATTTCATATCTATAAGTTATATTTACATCCAAGGATAAATATAGAAAAAGTGACCGAATCTTTACGATTCACAATTGGATTCGATTCGCGATTCGGTACGAAACCATTTCGATTCAGGATTCAAATCCCGATTTGACAACTACGATTGACATATTATTTTATTGAGTAATAGCTTGTGTAGCTCCGTAGTGGTACTACATTTATTTTCATATAGCTATCCAGCATGTATACAAGAAACTAAGTGGACGGGTGAGAAAGTTAAGGAAATTGAAGATACCGGGTTTAAACTGTATTATAGTGACAAGGATAGACACATGAATGGGGTAGGAATAATAGTTGCCAAGGATCTTGTAAAAAATATAATGGCGGTTATTAACAAAGGTGATAGTATTATGTTAGTTAAACTAGTTATTGGAGGGAATATAGTAAATGTTATTAGTGCATACGCCTCCCAAGTAGGATTAGATGATCAGACTAAGAGGAATTTTTGGGAGTAAATGGATGAGATCTTACAGGAGATACCCGTAAGAGAGAACCTAGTTATAGGTGGAGATTTCAACGGCCATGTAGGAATAGATAAACTAGGCTATGAGAGGATGCATGGTGGATATGGTTTTGGTGATAGAAATGAGACTGAAGAGAGTATTTTAGATTTTGCGTTGGCTTCTGACGGTGGTGGCCAATACTATGTATAAGAAGAGGGAGAAGCATTTGATAACCTTTAATAGTGGGTTAGTTAAGAGCCAAATATATTATTTTTTAGTGCGGAAAGTGGACCGTCTAAAATGCAGTGACTATAAGGTGATTTTTAGAGAGAGCCTAACATCTCAACATATGATTTTGGTACTAGATTTATGCTTTAAAGGGCAATATTAAGCTAGGAAGGATAGTAGGCGTTGTAGGACGAGATGGCGAGACCTAAAAGGGGATAAATTAGAAATATTTAAGAATAGAATGGATAAGGAAGGTATTTGGGAAAGATGGTGCTAACACTATGTGGGATTCGATAGCCAATTATATGAGGAGAATCTCAAGGGAAGTTTTTGGAGAGTCGAAAGGAAAAGGATCCAACTCTAGGGAAACTTGGTGGTGGAAGGAAGAGGTTCAAGTGGTAGTTAAGACAAAAAAAGAGTGCTTTAAAAAGTGACAAAAGGATGGAACTGAGGAAAATCTTAAGAGCTATAGATTGGTTAATAAGGAGGTCAAGAAGGTAGTGAGAGAGGCTAAGTTGAAAGCTTATGATGACCTATACACTAGACTAGTTAGTAAGGAGAGAGAGAAGATGGTATACAAATTTACTAAAATAAAGGATAGGAAAACAAGAAATTTTAATCAATTTAAGTGCTTCAAGAGTGAGGATTCTAAGGTATTGGTGAAGGATGAAGAGATTAAGGAGAGGTGGAAGAACTATTTTGAGAAACTGTTTAATAAGGAACATGGAGGTACGTTAATAGGGGAGGAAATAGCCAGAGTAGTAATAAGGAAAATCATGACTATAGGTTCTATCGCAGGATTAGGAACCTTGAAGTGGAGATTGTACTTTATAAGATGAAATTGAATAAGGTTTTAGGATCCGATGATATCTCTATTGAAGCTTGGAAGTGTTTGGGTAAGAAGGGAGTTGCTTGGTTGACTAGGTGGTTTAACAAGATTTTGTTGACTAGGAACATGTGAGATGAGTGGAGAAAGAGTATTTTAGTGCCAATCTATAAGAATAAAGGAGATGCTTAGAATTGCAACAATTATAGAGGAATCAAGCTATTGTGCAATATAATTAAAGTATGGGAGAGGGTGATGGAACATCGATTGTGAGATATAACAAAGGTGTTAAGAGAATCAATTTGGATTTATGCCTAGTAGGTCGATGCAAGAAATGATGTATTATTGATTGATATATGTTATGTTTACAATGATTCCTATATATAGGAGAGGGTGAGTGTGAAGTAGGTGAGGAGTAGGTGAGGAGTAGGTGGAGAGTAGGTGAAGTGGGTGGAGTAGGTGTAGTGATAGGTTTTGGTACATTTTAACAGCCCCCCGCAAACTCAAGGGGGATAGGAACTAACCAACTTGAGTTTGGAGAGACTAACAAAACAAGAAAATAGACGAATACATAAAATAAAAAAGGATAGGAGACACTGTATGGTCGTGTCAGACCGTTGTAGAAGACTGTATGGTTATGGTAGACCGATGTAGAAGACAGTTTATGGGGTCATGTCGGACCGTTGTAGAAGACAGTTTACGGAGTCTTGCTGGACCCTTGTAGAAACTAACCGGAATCAATGTCGGGACAGTTTACAGAGTCTTGTCAGACCCATAAAGGAGCTAACCGGAATCAATGTCGGGACAGCTTACAGAGTCTTGTCGGACCCTTGAAGGAGCTAACCGGAATCAATGTCGGGACAGTTTACAGAGTCTTGTCAGACCCATAAAGGAGCTAACCGGAATCAATGTCGAGACAGTTTACAGAGTCTTGTCGGACCCATAAAAAATGGCTGTGTTGATTTGTAAATGATGGGGGAATTAAGTTAGTTAGAGTTTGTTGTTAAATTACCAAGCGAAGAGTTTGCTTTTCGAATTTTATTTAATTAAATTCTTTTTAAAATTTTCCCTCTAACCTTATGTGATCAATTAAAGGAAATTCCAAAAAGAAAAAATTGAAAAAAAATAAAACCCAAAGAAAATATTGATTGATTTGTGTAAATTAATATTTTTATCAGTTATTAATTTTTATATGTGTTGTGTTTGTTCATAGTGTTTGTATTGGGTAACCAATTATTATTTTACAACAATGTTTGTGTTTAGTTTGAATTCGGTTTCTATAAAAAAAACCTTTCATTAGTGTGACCATGCATGTGTTTGTTTTGAATTGGGTAGTCTCTTTTAATTATTATATTAGCTTTTTTCTGTATTTTATAGGTGGATGAAGACTAGAAGCGAATGGCAATATTGACTCCCTTTTTACAGGTCTACATTTTTTTAAGCTTAATTTTTTCTTATCTCTTTAATGATTTTGTATTTATTGTTGTGTAAACTAAACGTGCACTTCTTTGATTGATGAGTGTTGGAAGAGTGGCAATCTCGAGGACAGAATTTACACTATTTTTGGTTTCATTGTTAACAAACTTTGAAAATGATTGAAGTTGTATAAAGTTAAAGATTATTTAAAGACAGGTTGATGTTGTGTAAACTTATATAGAGTTAGTTTGGTTTGAGAGGTAGACATTTGGAGGTGTTTGTTATTTAGATTTTGATCAAGAATACCATTTTTGTATTGGCATGGTGTGCTCCAAAGGAAGAACACCATTTTGTTGTTCCTCTTATTTGAAGTTGTGTTTATAATAAAGGGGATCCTCTTGATAAAATATATGCTATCTATTCATTTTTTGTATGTCATGGGGAAAACAGAACTCTAGGTATACTTGATTCTCAATGTTCCTAGCTTAAAAGATAATGATAAATGAAAATTATTCAAACAGAACATTATTTACATCGTGCCTTTAGGCACGGGCATACACTAGTACATTTATATAATAGTAGTGATAGATATATTATTATTTTGGTAAGATATTGACTTTTTTTTAATATATATAGATATATATATATATATGTATATATATGAAAAACGAAAATGATAAATACGGGGATAAGAAGAAGAAAAAGAAAAAGAACTTGTCAAAAGGTTGAGAGACATGCCATGTGGGTGTCATGATAAGAAAAGGCAAAAGAAAGAAAAAAAAGGAAAATTCAAACAGCAAGACTAGTTGATTGAAAGTGGTGGGAAGAAAAAGTGAAAAGAAATGATGGTTATGTAATAAAATAAAATATAAAAGCAGTGGGTTAGTGGAAGAAAAGGTTAAAATAAATGGTTGGAAATATTAAAATAAAGGTGGATGTTCTTGAGTAGAGAGAGAGAGCTCGGTTGTAGTTGTCTTTTTGCTTTATCATCGAGGTTGCAGATGGGAACAAAATTAAGCCACGTGAATCAGTGGCGTTTTATCTAGCAGCTATGTTCCCTTGACAGTAGATGATGCACGAGAAAATGAAGATGAGAAGGTCTTGTCTCATGAAATAAGATCCTCGGAGGTAGATTCCCACAAACGGATGAGAGACACAACTTCAGAAAGAGTTTGGTCTGATGAGCTGCCATCCTTTCTTTCAAGTTCATCTGCAACATCCAGTCTAAAAGATGAACAGCATGAAGATGTGAAGATCCTCGGAGGTAAATGGTAAGGCAAAGATGCCTACAAGTGAAGATGTGAAGCCCCCTCCGTTGAGAACAAAATTAAGCCACGTGAATCAGTAGCGTTTTATCTAGCAGCTATGTTCCCTTGACAGTAGATGATGCACGAGAAAATGAAGATGAAAAGGTCTTGTCTCATGAAATAAGATCCTCGGAGGTAGATTCCCACAAACGGATGAGAGACGCAACTTCAGAAAGAGTTTGGTCTGATGAGCTGCCATCCTTTCTTTCAAGTTCATCTGCAACATCCAGTCTAAAAGATGAACAGCATGAAGATGTGAAAGAATCAAGTTTATAGGAGGTGAATGGTGAGGCAAATATGCCTACAAGTGAAGATGTGAAGCCCCCTCTATTCGGGCACGGCTTGCCCCGAATTCCGAAAAGGGAACTGTAAGAAACGTGATGCCTGTGAGTTCGCGCATGGCGTGTTCGAGTGCTGGCTCCATCCGGGTCGGTAGCGGACTCAGCCATGCAAGGACGGTCCGAGAACTCCCGGATCTGTGGAGTCCTATGATGGGTCTCCTCTCAGGCTTGCTATGGAGGGTTCTTGTGCTAAAGGGTTGACTTTTATGTCCTCGTCGGAGTCTATTTCGCCGCCGTCTGAGTTGCCGCCGATGTCTCCGATGACTACTAACTCACTGAGTCGGGCTCTGGGTTCGAACTCGATCAACGAAATGGTGGCTTCTCTGCATCAGTTACAGCTCAACAGGTCAAGTCGATGCCTCCTTCATGGGGTATCCAGATGGGCGGTTCTCCTGGTTTCGTGTCTCCCAGGTTGTCATTGACCCGACCCGCTTTCTGCAGTTTGCCATCGACTTCGACGAGGGCCCGTACCCGGACTGGAATCGGGTCTTTTTGATCTGTGGGACAAAAAAAAGGGGAATAGAGCTGTCTGCAGAGAGAGAAATTAGAAAATTTGGGTTTGTCCGGCGGACGGCCAAGGCGAGGCTGCCGCCCGCCGGTGAAGCGGAATTTCTAAGTTCTTAACCTGGCTCTGATACCATGTAAGAAATGATGTATTATTGATTGATATATGTTATGTTTACAATGATTCCTATATATAGGAGAGGGTGAGTGTGAAGTAGGTGAGGAGTAGGTGAGGAGTAGGTGAAGTGGGTGGAGTAGGTGAAGTGGTAGGTTTTGGTACATTTTAACAGTCAACAATGGAAGCTATCTATCTTTTGAGGAGAATAATAGAAATGTATAAAGAAAAGAAAAGAGACATTCATATGGTGTTTATCAATCTTAAGAAAGCACATGATAGAGTGTCTCGGGATATAATTTGGTGGGTGTTAGAGAAGAAAAGGGGTGATAAAAGGTGACATTGATGTGCTTAAGGACACGTATAAAGGGGTGATGACCACTATTAGATCGCTTGCTGGATTGACAACTGAATTTTCAATTACTGTAGAGTTACTTCAAGGATCTACCTTAAGTCTTTATATTTTTGCTTTAAGTTGACGAGAAATATTCAGGATGATGTGTCATGATATATGTTCTTTGCAGATGATATCGTGTTAATGGATGAGACTAGAGAAGGAGTTAATACAAAGTTGGAGATTTAGAGAGAAACACTTGAATTTAAAAGATTTCGAATAAGCAAAACCAAGACAGAATACATGGAGTGTAAATTTAGTAATAGTAATAATGAAAGCAAGAGAAGTGAAGATTGAGAACTAAGAACTACCTAAGAGTGAACATTTTTATTATTTAAGGTCGATTATCACAACGGTGAGGGAGATTGATGTGGATGTGGTCCATAGAATTAAGGCGGGATGGCTTAAGTGGAGAATTGCGTTTGGGGTACTGTGCAATAAACGAGTATCCACTAGACTAAAAAAAAAGTTCTATAGAACGGTTATTATACCAGCGATATTGTATGGGACGGAGTGTTGGGTAACCAAGAAATAAGTGTTACTGAGATGAAGATACTAAGGTGAATGTGTTGCAAGACTAGAAAAGACAGAATTAAGAATCAGTATATTAAAAAATGAGTAGGAGTGACACCGATAGCAAATAAGTTGAGAAAAAATAGGTTGAGATGATTTGGTCATATTTAACAGAGACCAATAGAGACAGTAGTGAAGAGATGCGATGTGGTGACGGTAGATGAAAGTATTAGGAGACGAGGTAGACCTAGATTGATGTTGGCTAGCGTAGTAAATCGAGATATGAATTTATTGAATTTGAATTACGAAATAGTTTTTAATAGAATCGCATGGAGAAGAAGATTCACGTAGCCGACTCTATTTAATGGGATTTAAGGTTTGGTTTGATTTGGTTTGGTTATCCAGCCTTTGAATCTCTATGGCATCTCTAGAATAAATTTGTGAACCATAGTATTTTTAAACGCTGGCATGCACAAGTTTTTTCTGTGATTCCTATTATATTGCGTAGGATTCTAACTTCAACTGAACATGGTCTTTCATTGGATCTGATATGTGCTTATTTGAATTTTTTTTAAGGTTGGATCTGAGGATATCAGGGGATTGGATTTTTTGGTATTTGAACAGCCAGAATTGACCATTTTAAGTGGCCACGTTGAGGGAGGGTTCTTGGAATTGATGAGCTTCATTCACATCTTCGGGTGGAAATTAAATCAGCTAATGATCCATCCAAGATTGAATCTGTCTTCCCATTACCTCTTTCTAATTTCTTCCAGGTAAAGGACTTGCCGAGGGGTAAGCACCTTCTGCAGCTTCGATCTGATCTCCCATCAAGAACCCACAAATTTGAATCCGAAGTTATTGAGGTTGACTTGGAGAAACATACACAAATTCATGTGGGCCCAATCAGATATAAAGTTGAAGAGGATTTCCACAAACAGGTTTGTACCTACCAGATGTATTTTTCTTAACCATGACACGCATAATAATCTGTCTTCTGCCAATAGAACATCAAAGTAAGATTATTATCACGTATGAGGTAAAACATTTTTCTTCTCTTCAATGGCATGCAGGAATTGACTCCAGCACCGGTATATCCTCTTATTGTTGGAGTTTCGGCGATTGCTCTTTTTATCAGTATGCCCAGGTTGCTATGCTTTTCTCTCTCTCTTTGTCCATTGATGATAATTTCCTTTCTTATGTCCGTCAAAGAGAAGAATGATTTAAATATCTGTTTGAATGCAACTCTTCATTGTAGAATAAAGGACTTGTACCAAGCCACGATGGGAGTGTACACGTCGAGTTCCGTTGCAAATGGAAAAAAAGAAGTGAGAAAGCCGGTCATCAGAAAAAAGACTTATTGACATGGGCGGAGCTATGCATGAAGTTAACCCACTAAACTTTTACTTTTTTTTTTTTAAGAATTATGTAGTATTATATAAATTTTTTGAGGATTAAAATTGTTCAAAAAAATATATTTGTCAACCAAAAAAATTTTGTTTAAAAAAAAAAAAAATTCTATGTTTATCATAATTTTATACCTTTTTTGTTTAGCATGTATAACTATTAATGGTTGAATATGAATATGAATATGAATATGAATATGACTTATGTATACATTATTACAACAATCATTATGTATGTCACATTAAATATCATCTAAAAATAGGGTGATTATAATTTTATTGACATAATAAATATCATGATATCGTTTTTTTTAATAATGATATAAAAAAATTCATATATATTTTTTTATATAAAATGCTATAATTTAATATGAGAGATTTATTAGAAAATTATTTTTCAAGTGTTTGGATCTCAATTAGTTCATAAGATATTTTTATATTTTAATAAGTCATATTATTTGAATATTTGATCTATTAAATTTTAATTCTCATATTTAAAGTATTTTATGGATATTTTTACCCTTACAAATATTTTTTGAATGGTTAGCAATTTGGTAATGTGAACATTCATATTTTACCATGTGAATATTCACATTGATGTGTAAATGCTCACATTAATAGTGTGAACATTTATATTGACATGTAAACATTTATATTGATGGTATGAACGTTCACATTACCGATGCGAACATTTACATTGACGGTGTAAGCATTCATATTACGGATCATTTATATTGTAAATGTGATTATTATTGGGGATATTTTGATAATTATATCATTCATGAGACTTTTTATTGAAATATAAGAAAATAATGTGGATTAAATAGAATATAAGTAATTGAAAAGAGATTTATGTAACCTTTCATTTAAAATAAAATACCCATAAAGATCTTTTTTATTTATAACATCATTTTTTTTTTTGGGTATAAATTTCATATGTAAATAGAGTTTATATATTAAAAAAAAAAAGAAGAAAAGCAGCACGAAATTCTTAATTTTTAAGAATCATTTTATCTCATCTTTATTTGATTGAGTGAAAATTACAATTTTGTTGTCTTTAGTTTTAATAATTTGAGAGACAAAGTAAACTCTATTATTAATTTTTTTTTTAATATCAACAATGATTTGAAATAAAGTAAAATAAATTTAATAGTTTAAGGTATTAATTTTTAAAACTGATAATATAAAAAGCAATGTGACAAGTGCATTATAATTTAATAATATTATAATAATCACATTTTATACATTAATTGTTTTATAATTGCATTACTTTAATTTAATGCATAATAATTTTTTTTTTCCCCAAATATTTCTGACAAATGAGAATGGTATTCACCTTGGTTTTATCCACTTTTTTTAAAATTAAATTTTTTTTAAAAAAAATTTTACTAATTTTTTTAATATTTTAAATAAATATTTTAATTTTCAACACATCTATTATAAATATACTTAAAAAATATAATATTTGTAAAAAAATTCATTAAATATATAAAATATAAAAATTAAGCACATGAAGGGTTGAAGCACATTTTGGATTCTTATATATTTATTAATTTTTCATAATATTATTTATAAATATTTTATTTTTAAAATATATTTAAAAAATAGAAAAATTATGTAAAATATTAGTAAAAAAATTCATTAAAAATAAAGGGCTTGTTTGGTTTGTTTTTCAAGAAAAATTTAGGAAAAATTCTCTTCAAATAAATTTTTTAGAGTAATCAAACCAAATAAATTTTTTCAAAAAAAATTTCAAAATTTTGTTTGATTACTTATTTTTCAAAATCTCTCTCTCATAAATATCAAATCAATTATTTTTTTTAAAACTCTCTCTCCCAAAACAATTTTTCAAAATTATTTCTAAAAAAAAATAAATCAAACAAATTTTCATATTTTTTACTTAAAAAATTACTCTACAAAAAAAAAAAACTCAAAACATTATCACTTTTGCTTGGTCGCCACTTATCACTTTTTGCTGGATAGAGTCAACATAGTAAGTAAGTGATGGGACGGAGATTTCAATGTCTGAAAAAATGCGACTCCAGCTCACTCTTTTAGATATACAGTGGCTCCATAAAATATCACCAATCCCCCACACACTCTCTCTCTAAAATCTCACCATATTCTTTGATGGCCTCTTCGACTCCGCCACCGCACTATTCTCTCACCACCTCCAAACCCTACCAAAACCACCACCACCACCACCACCACCACAGCCACCGTCAAACCCATCAAAACTGGACCTCCCAAAAGGTCTCTCTCAACAACAGGTCCTCACACACCCCAACAACTCGAAATGCCGCCAAACCACCACCAGGTTCCACCACCACCACCACAAACCCTAGTTTCCCCTCTCTCTCCTCTCTCCCTCCCTCAAAATCGGAGCTTTCTGCCGATTTCTCAGGCCGAAGATCGACCCGATTCGTCTCGAAGATGCACTTTGGCCGCCCCAAGACCGCCGTCGCGAGCCGACACACCTCCACTGCCGAAGAAGCTCTCCACCAAGCAATCCGACACAGTGGCGATGATAGACATATTGATGGATTGTTGCTTAATTTCGAACAAAAGCTTTGTGGTACCGATGATTACACATTCTTGCTCCGAGAGCTTGGAAATCGAGGTGAGTACTCAATGGCGATTCGGTGTTTTGAATTTGCTGTGCGAAGAGAGAGGAGGCGAAATGAGCAGGGCAAGCTTGCGAGTTCTATGATTAGTGTTCTTGGAAGATTAGGAAAAGTTGATTTAGCAAAGAATGTATTTGATACTGCTGTTAGTGAGGGATATGGGAACACGGTCTATGCTTATTCGGCTTTAATTAGTGCTTATGCGAAGAGTGGGTTCTGTGATGAGGCTATCAAGGTCTTTGAGATCATGAAAAATTCTGGGTTGAAGCCCAATTTGGTAACCTACAATGCTTTAATTGATGCTTGTGGAAAAGGGGGTGCAGATTTCAATCGAGCATCGGAGATTTTTGATGAAATGTTGAGAAATGGGGTTCAACCTGATCGAATTACGTTTAATTCACTTCTTGCTGTGTGTAGTGGTGCAGGGTTGTGGGAGACTGCGAAGAATTTGTTCAGTGAGATGGTTTATAGAGGGATTGATCAGGATATTTATACTTACAATACTCTTCTAGATGTTGCTTGCAATGGTGGGCACATGCATGTGGCTTCTGGGATAATGTCTGAGATGCATACAAAGAATATATTGCCTAATGAGGTAACTTATAGTACTATGATTCGTGGGTGCGCTAAGGCGGGGAGATTAGACAAAGCATTAAGTTTGTTTAATGAGATGAAGTTTGCTCGTATTAAATTGGATAGAGTTTCTTACAACACTTTGCTCGCAATTTATGCGAGCCTTGGTAGTCTTGAGGAGGCTTTAAGTGTTGGTGATGAGATGGAGAGTATGGGGATTAAGAAGGATGTTGTCACATATAATGCACTTCTGGATGGATTTGGGAAGCAAGGGAAGTATGATAAAGTTAAACAATTGTTCCAAGAGATGAAAGCAGAGCGTCTTTGGCCTAATCTATTGACTTACTCAACCTTAATCAGTGTTTACTCGAAAGGCGGTTTGTATCGAGCGGCAATGGAGGTTTATAAAGAGTTCAAGCAGGAAGGGTTGAAGGCGGATGTTGTCTTTTATAGCAAACTCATCGATGCATTGTGTAAAAAGGGGCTAGTGGAGTCTTCTGCATTATTGCTTGAAGAGATGACAGAGAAAGGGATTCAACCTAATGTAGTCACTTACAATTCTATAATTAATGCCTTTGGTCAGTCAGCAACTGGTGAATATCTAGAAGGAGCCAATGAGTCTCCGGCTGAATCTTCAAACTCGGTGGTTATTCGGGATGTCATCAGGAGCAGGGTTGAATATGCAGAGGATGACAGGATCATAAATATTTTTGAGGAGTTGGCTGCTGCAAATTCATGCCATTCAAAGAAACATAACAGGGGCAGACAGGAGATTGTGTGCGTTTTGGGAGTTTTTCAAAAAATGCACGATCTGAAAATAAAACCAAATGTTGTCACCTTTTCAGCAATTTTAAATGCTTGCAGGTATACTTTTCTGTCTGGCTCCTATTGTATTTCACTAAATTGCATGCCTTTTTCTATGGAAAATATTGAAAGTAAAGAATGTGGCTGTATAATTAGCATCTGCTTTTTTATCTGCAGTTTCTATATTCTTTTGCTTCCTTTAGTGACATGTTGCTTTGTTGTTAGATTTCACATCATGCAGTCAATTGATATCTTCATTTCATTTATAACCCATTATTTGGGATGAGCTCCTTGCATAATTTGATGGGGCACTTACCACTTAGTCCCATTAACTAGACTTATTTACTTATAGGTTTAACTGATAAATTTATTCATAAAAGCAAGAGAGACTTATCAATAGGACTTAAATGGGTAATAAGTCCCAAAAGGAGGACCTATTGGTAATTTATCCTAATTTGATTCACCAAAAGGGCCTTTTAGACAAATGAATTTAAAATATTTTTGGATGTTATTTAAGCATCTTATGCTAATATTTTTGGATGCTATTTAAGCATCTTATGCTGAATATCATAATTTTTAAATACAATATGAATATATGACTCATGCCCCTGTAATTGTACGAATAGCTCTAGTGTCTGCTTAATCCAAAGTAATTTGGGCTTTCAAACCCTTAACTAAATTTTGATTATTTTGGAAAAAAAATATTATGGGATTTAGGAAATATATTAAAAAAAAGTCATAGAAATCTTTTATTGTTATTTATATTATTTTTTTTTCTTATCTTTATAAAATATGAACAAGTTGGAATTCAATTATTATTTGTTGTTGTTGTGACATAAACCTTTTTGTACTGTTACAAGGAATATTCTTTATGGGACTGAAATACTTAGGCTCATATGGCATAAACCTTATGGGACTTGCTGACTTAGATTTTTGTATTGCTACAAGGAATATTCTCTAGGTGAGGTGGTGTCTAGTTGAGATGGTTATCAATTAATAGAATTTTTTGTAAATTCAGAAGTAGGAATCCAAAGTCAAAACACATAAAAGTGTTGCAAGAAAGGCCAAACAAACTAGCCTAAGGTGCAAAGGGTTGCTGCTTCTTATAATCGTTGTGCTTGCACAATGCACTACTTCTGTTGAATTTTATATCTTTTCATCTTGTGCTTTCTAGTTTTATGGTGCTGCCTCACCATAGGCATCAACTAGGACATGTTTGAATGACATTGCTTTGATCATGGCTTTGAAGTTGTGATGTAGTGGAGGAGGAATCAGAACAATCTATTGGGCCTATGCCCAGGATTTTGAGATTGTTATCATAGTGTATCTAGAAGTTCAAAATTGCTACTTCTTGCCTTCATCAAATTCTTGGACTTCTTGATAATTGCAACCACTTTACTAAAAATTATGGTTTATCTCAGTTGTGCATCTTGGCCCCTTGTTGCAGCCATTGTAATTCATTTGAAGAAGCTTCATTGTTATTGGAGGAACTTCGTTTATTTGATAATCAAGTGTACGGTGTGGCACATGGACTTCTCATGGGCCATAGAGAGAATGTATGGATGCAAGCTCTATCACTTTTTAATGAGGTGAAGCAGATGGACTCTTCAACAGCATCTGCCTTTTATAATGCTTTGACTGACATGCTATGGCACTTTGGGCAGGTATGTCTTGGTGCTTTCTGTTAATGAAAATACTGTTTTTTTAATAGGGTCTGGGTTGTTTCGCTGGGACTTATTTAATGACTTAAACAGGTTTGCACTTCACACTGTCTCCCTCTTCAGTGTGCTGTTGATACATTAGCTATTGCCCAAGTACATAATGGCTAATTTTTCCAGAGTTGCCATTTACCATTTTATCTAAAATATTGCCTGAATAGCTATTTGTCTGTCCAGAAATACAAGTGCACGTGTGGAATTACTAATAGACTGATTTTAAAGTTCTTTCTATAAATATCAGGAGAGGGTGTCCAAAGTTTTTGTGAAAAAATGTTTCCATTGGTTGCTTTACGTGTAACTTGTTGTAGACGGAGATTATAGAAATCCATTGTTGAACTATTTTACCTTTTGCAGTCTAGCGTTCTTTAGCCAATGTGTCCTGTTCTCTGATTCTTGCAAGAGTTCTTGAATCTAAACCAAACCAAACCAAACCAAGCCTTAAAATCCCATCAAATGGGGTCGGCTACATGAATCCTTCTTCTCCACGCGGCCCTATCAAAGGCCATTTCATTAGTCAAATTAAGTAGATTCATCTCTCTATTTATAACGCTAGTCAACGTTAATCTAGGCCTACCCCGTTCCCTAACACTTTCATCTACCATTATAGCATCGCATCTCTTCACTACTGCCTCTGTTGGTCTCCGTTGAATATGACCAAACCATCTCAAACGATTCTCTCTCAACTTATCTTCTATCGGTGCTACTCCTACCCATTCCCGAATACACTTATTCTTAATCCTGTCCTGTCTAGTCTTACCACACATCCACCTTAGCATCCTCATCTCAGCCACACTCATCTTATCTACATGATGTTTCTTGGTTGCCCAACACTCCGTCCCATACAACATAGCTGGTCTAATAGCCATTCTATAAAACTTACCTTTTAGTCTAGTGGGTATTCGTTTATCGTACAATACCCCAGACGCACTTCTCCACTTACACCATCCCGCCTTAATTCTATGGGTCACATCTGCATCAATCTCTCCAGCTGTTGTGATAATCGACCCTAAATAACGAAAATGTTCACTCTTAGGTAGTTCTTGGTTCTCAATCTTCACTTCTCCTCTGCTTTCCTTGTTCCTGTTACTAAATTTACACTCCATGTACTCTGTCTTAGTTTTGCTTATCCGAAATCCTTTAGTTCTTGAATCTACATGGTTAAGATATTACATGGTTAAGATATTACAGAAACAATCTCCATTGTTGCAATTATCTAAAATGTTATTTAAGAGATTTGGACTTCCAGGATTCAGTTACGGTTGAAATATCTATAAACAATCCCTGCCCCTTTTATGGTGTACTTATATATTCATTCTTTGTGTTTCTTTTCCCACAGAGACAAGGGGCCCAACTAGTTGTCCTTGAAGGGAAACGGCATCATGTATGGGAGAACACATGGTCTGATTCTTGCTTAGATCTGCATCTGATGTCTTCCGGTGCTGCACGTGCAATGGTTCATGCCTGGTTGCTCAATATTCGCTCTATAGTATTTGAAGGCCATGAGTTGCCAAAACTACTAAGGTAAATGATTGATTAGATTAGAACTGTCAAACGATTGAGTATTGTTTGTGAATAAAATTGCATTTTGATCAGACAGAAGGATCAACTCTTGTTCTTGTGCAGCATTCTAACAGGATGGGGCAAGCACAGCAAAGTAGTTGGTGATGGCACGCTAAAGAGAGCAATTGAGACACTCCTCAGTGGCATGGGGGCACCGTTTGAGGTTGCGGAGTGCAATATTGGGAGGTTTATATCCAGTGGAGCTCTGGTGACAGCCTGGTTGAGAGAATCAGGCACACTGAAAGTCCTCATTCTTCAGGATGACAGAACTCAAACTGAGGCTGCTACATTGGACCACATTTCTGAGTTGCAAACAATCCCCTTGTAGTAGCTTGTATTTCAATGTAGCATTTTCATCTCTCTCTCTCTCGATTTTTGGGCTTTAATACCAACATTTTTATTTCATGTAAATTAAGTGGTCCGAAAATGTACATAAAAACTCCCAAATGTATCCGTTTAGTGTTGTTAACAGTGTTTTCTTTGTTCAGTTCTCTGTTTCATTTTTACTGCAAATAATGACCTACCGATGCGGATTGGAAAGTCTGTACAAAACACTGATTTCAGGAGTGGAAGGAAATGCTTGGGAGTCGTCGGGAAAATGATGTTCATGCCAACCACCAGGCTGATTAGTACCCATGTTTGCAGGCCACACATGCGGACCAGTCTGGGTCAACCACCTCAGTCGGCTTGGTCTGGGCAGCAGAGCTCTTTTGTAATGAGCTCAATATTGATATCATAAATTTTCTAGGTTCATACAAGATGAATAAAAAAGAAAGCCCAACCCGTTGCATTGTTTAAAAATAACGCATAATGACAGTTTACTTAGGTATCGTTTGGTAACACTTATGTTTTCAGTTTTCAGTTTATATTTATAAAATTTTTAAAAATTCAAATAAAAACTTGTTTGGTAAATTTTTTATTTATAATCAATGGTCTCAGTTTATAAATTTGGCTAAAAAATATAAATTTAAAAAATGAGTTTACGTTTTGAGTTTTCAGTTTCTTTTTTTATCACCCAACACTAGTCATCATTCATCACCATTTTCCACCATCGTCTTTCGCCACTACCACCCATCCCCTATCACCACCTGTTACCACCACTCACCACCCACTTGCCACCACCACACACTACCCACCACCACCACCCACCTGCCACCCACTCACCACCCACTCGCCACCACTACCACTCACCACCCACCTGCCACTACCATCCACCGCCCGCCACCACCACTTATCACCCACCTGCCACCACTAGCCACCTTGTAACAACCCTCACTTCAACTTAGTCATACTTGTATACATTTATGCATGATCTTGTTTTGTTATGTGCATTTGCATATCTTGTCTTGTTTTGTTCGAGTGTTATTTGCATGCTTTGTTCTTGCCTGGTGTGTTGTCGAGGTCATCTTAAGTCTAGACACCTTGGAACCTTTCTACACTTAGAACTATCTTGTAACCACTTCGGTTGACCTCCATCTCTACCTTGGCATATTTGCCGAGATGTCTCTATCTAGGCCGAGGTGTTCAGCACCAAGGCCGAGATGTGTATCACCTAGGCCGAAATGTTTATCCTTGCATCCTAGTGATTTTGTTCCTGGAATGGTATGACCTAGACCGAGGTGTGGCACATCTAGGCCAAGGTGTGGTACAGCTTAGTCAAGTGTTGTCCTTCCAAGCCGATGTCATTGTCACCCTACTTGCCGAAGCTTTGCCCTTAGCCGAGATCATCACTTGCCAGAGTACTCTTGCCGTCTAGCTTGTTGAACACACTTTGTCATAGTCTTGTCTTGTCAAGTCTGTCACCTTTTTTAGTAGAGCCAATCAGCCGATGCCACGTGTCCCATCAGAGGGTTAAGTCAGTGACTGTCGAGAAAACATATCATTTTGTATCAAATCTTGTCTTTTAGAGAGAGAGGCTCTAAGAAGGAAAATGATAAGTTTTGAGTAAGAGAGAGTGAACTTCCAAGCTTGATCGTTAGAGCTTGAACCGTTAGATTCGAGTTTTGAGGTTAGAATCTTAACCTACTCTTGTTGTTCTTATTGATCATCTAGCTGCATTGCACGGTCAAACCTGTTTTGCACGTCATGCATTGATTTAAAGTTGGTTTTAGAAAGAGAAAATGGTTTTCATGTGTTCTTGAAGAAAATCTCGTTTTGATCTGAAAGTTTGGAACGAAAAGCATGTTTTTGTGTTTGTTCTTGCATGACCTTCTTGTGTGGGTACCCAGGTCCATGTTCTGAACACTTGGCATGAAACCTCAGACTTTTGTAACAAGTTTTGAACTTGCATTCATCTTTCTCATAATCATGTTCGTCATGTTCTTCAAAGGGAAACCCAGGTTTTCCCGACTTTGCTTTTGGTTGAGGCCAGCGGGACCACACCTCGGCCAAGAGGTGTGGGACCTCGGCAAAGACCTGGTTGGTACCCAGATTGTTTTCATGAAACGGGAGCAATGTTTAAACTCCCAGCATGCTTTGCTTTGTTATTGACTTGGATCTGGTAAGGATGCCGAGATCATCTGCATACATATAAAGCTTGTTTTGAGAATATGATTGCCATGTGATTGTAGGACCTTGATCCTTGCTTTGAGTCTACACCTGAAGAACTAGGTGAGTGGTATTTCTAATAAAGCTATGTTATACTGTTTTGATAAATCTTGCTTTGCTTTGTTTTGACGAAAGTATTTGTTAAGCATGAATGAATAGCCCTGTTTTGATGTATCAAATATAAGCCTTGTTTTGATGTCATTCTTGAAAAGTCCCTTGTACTGGAGGACTCTAAACTTTCGCAATACCAAGTATAAAAGGATACGGTCCTTTCTTGGAAAGACTATAATGTTAAATCGGGCTACAGGCCTAAGTAACACAAGTTCTATTATGTTAAATGAGCTACGGGCTTAAGTAACACAAGTCCCTTAT